CTTTGCAGATTCCATTCTGGGTGATGAATACCATAACCCCATTGGTATATCTTGAATAGGAAAGAAAGCACCGTTGTAAAAATAACTAACCAGTATACAATCGAGCACCCGGCACTCACCAATCAGAATACAGGTTATCCAACAAATCAAGGGAAATATTTGTCCCAACGATCAAAAAACAGCCTAGATGAGTAGACCGTACATCGATCTACGCAGGGGCGACACACGCTGTTCTACTCACAGTACACTGATTAAGTCACCTCTGCTGTTGACGTAATGTTAACAACCAGTAGCTGAGCAGTCTCCCAACCGCTTTATTATGCGTGAAGGGCTCGCTGTGGATGAGATAAGCTAAGACGGTTCTGTCACATCATGCTTTACAGCAGATCTGGCGGTATTCTCCGTCACTTGATGCAACCCACTTAAAACTATTTACACATGAAGTCACTAATGCAGTACGACCGAGTAACTATGTTTCTACAAGGATATCACATTGAGCAGCGCTTGTTACCATGGTTTGAGTTTGAGGTAACTTTGACACCAATAAGCATTTCAGCAATGTTTAAAAACAGCCGCTGAACCAACAGAGATTTGAGCTACTCCCCATTTGGTAAACGTCACAAATGACAGCTCTTCGATTGTCAGTTGTCTGTGTGCAAATAGACTTCGTAGGGACCAAGCGGTCCACTTATCTAGTCAGTTACATGAACCACTTAAAATTTAGGTGGCATCCAGGTGTATATAGCCACCGGTGAAGACTTGCTTTAAATGGCAGGAGAAGCTTCTCGATACCGACTACTCGAAAGCCCATAATATTTCACACTGGAACACGCCTTTCCTACTTTCCTGTCTGGTCAACTCGCCTACCGAAATACTGAAAATATGTTCTCTTATCCAGGAGGATGGGCCTACGTGGAAGACGTCCAGTTGTTCTCATCAAAATCCTGGCAGGAGGGTCGTCGTGCAGTTGCTTCATAATCGCAATGAGGGTTAGTTGGGCCGACTTAACGATGAAAAAACAGTACACACCTGATCCACACTCACCACTAACCATAATAAAATCAGTATTCGGTAACACATTCATAGCACTAAGTCCCTCTCCCATCCAGCTTTATTCTTTTCATTACAATAAGGCTTTCAAGTAAGTCATGGTTGTACGGCAGTGAAGCATCGGTGTTGAACACTGAGGTCATGCTGTCGATGATGATGATGATAATGATGATGATGAACACATTCATACACACATTATTGAGGTAACTCGATCAAGGTTAGGCCGGCATACTCAGTGCATCCGTTTTGTCGAGCACGATACACTCCTTCCACCGATAGAGCCGTATATTTGTTGCCGATGTGAGTACACATCTGCGGGATATCCATCCAGAAGTTGAATGGTCTGCCTTTTTAGTTTCATAATGTAAGCCTCACCGCTTGAGCCAATTAACAGATATTTTCGCTTTGCTTTGAGTGGGAAAGGCGCCAATTAAACACTCTTAATTCACGATCGACGCTTGAGTGCCACTCAAAAGCACCGAGTTAGTGCAAGTGCACCGGTTTGCTATTGCTAACATATCTCAGAGTTTTGTCCTCCTGTCTTCCCTACTCATGCGTAAGCGGATCTCAAGGGGAGCAATTAGTTCCCATTCTGGCGGTTTGTTTTTCATTAGGAGAACCAACCCGCCCACCATGCGTGGCAGCAGCGCTATAGGCTTCTCTGCTTTTGAAGTTATAATCCGTCCCTTTGAAGTTGAAATGGTGTAGAATAAGACTTTGGGCATATATCATATAAAATTAGAGAGTAACCGATTTCTCTGTTGTACAACATACTTCCAAAAGGGTCAACGCAATAACCAGGCCCTTCAATCGGGTCCGCTCGCAACTAACGGTTGCCAGCCTTCGCTTGAACATTTGAGTAAATGACAATGCCTCGTGAAAAAGATAAGAGTTGTTCTGGTGATTACTCTTCTATATGTGAAAAAATAGATAGGCATGGACAGTCAACTTGCTCTGTCCTGGTGTGCAATCCACCACACTTGGGGCGAGAAATGCGCGGAACGTAAATGTTATTTATATTTGACATAAGTAGCTCCAAGGAGGACGAAAATTCAATCCAAGTTGATCTGAGTGGGATGGACATCATTCATTGCAAGAAATGGATTCATGGCGTTGATAGTGTTCGTTTTGCAAAGAGGGGCGACTGCAGAATTGAAAGCCCCCTACTTCTCACATTTCATCCTATATTTATCTATCAAGTAAATTGTTACACATCTTTTCGGCTGCATTATTCGGCATGGGATCGCAGAACAGCGCATTTTGTCGGATGATGAACTGAACAAAGTAGCTTGCGATACTTAGTGTACCGCTATATGACCGATTATCTCAAAGTGTCCCACGTTCAACAGTAGTCTAATGGACTACTGGCCATTTCGATACGATAAACTCAACTTTCTTGTTACGATTTGTAAACAGATTCACTAACTACAAAAATTGCGTTTACAAGCCACGGCGTTTCAGGCGACTGTGTCAGCACAAAAGGGGTCATTTTTAGCGAGGCCATGCGATAGCTCAAGGGTTGAAAAAGTACGTTTGTGTTCGGGAATGGAGAATGGTCTGTCGCGTCCAGCGGGACGAGTAAGTTAACTTGAAGATGGCTCACACTTAATTGTGAGTGAAACGGATATTCACCTTTTGTTGCATTCAGTCTTTCATGAGTTAACTTGAAAAATCATAACTTCTGCACAGTGTGTAGGAAATTTGACAGCAAGTGTGCTCTAGCTGTCTATAGATAGGATTTCGGCTGGTCGCTGAGCTTGGCAATTTGCTTGAAAATTTTTCATCACTATTCTAGAAGACGGCACTAGTGCGCGCTCAGTTGGATACATCCTCTCTTTTTGCTTATTTTAAAAGAGTACCATATAGATGTAACATGGCTGACTGTTTGAAAACCATCATATTCCTGACTGATTGGTTCCTCGGGGATCTATGTGGAGTTGTGGTTTGTCCTTCCCTCGAACAAACCAATTAGAGCACAATCAAGATGATCTCCAAACAACTGGTCAGGTTAGAGTGGTAAGATGCCATCCCAAAACTATATAAATGCAAGAGCAAAATACCCACGCGGTCGCGCTATTGAGTACTTAAGAAAGTTCTGCAAGCCTACCTCCAGGTCGGTGAACAGATGAACCTGGCTGACAGTCACAAAGGTATTGTTACTTTCGGAAAGCCCTTTATAAGATGCCAGATCAGATCTCAATTGACTGTACAGAGCAGCATTACAAGATGTTGAAATGTTTGACCGATCAATCCCATAGTTCCTCCGAAGCAAATACTGCCCATTTGCTCTGTCTGATAATAGTGTAATGGTGATACAACTGATAAGTGAGGCACGCGAGTAGAATGTGTTGTTCGT